ATCACTTTCCATTATTGCTCTAGGTGAATTTCTATTTTTGTAGTAGAGAAAGGAAGATGTATGGACCATTAACCTTCCAGCTGAGGGCCAGACCAAACCCATTACTTGCCTCGGGAACGCGCCGTTCCCACAAGTCAAGCAAAGGCAGCGGTGAGACTGTCCCCCCAGCAACGATGGAGCTTGTCCCCAGGCGCTATGGATTATTTTTTTATGTGTGTATTTATTTTTACAGCAGTGTTTTAAGTTTTAAGTAAAGGTGTATTGGTGTTAGTCAGCTGACTTGGAGTTTACACATGCTCTGCTCTAAGGACACGTGCACGTCGCTGAGCGCTGCCCCGCAGGACTGTGTTGAGGCTTCAGATGCTGAGCATGGGACAGCACCTCCCAGGATCTGACAGCTCAGTCCCATGCTCGGCCAAACCAAACCCCACCAGTGTCTGTCCCCGAGCCCAGTGTCAGCCCGGCCTCTTGCAGGATTCAGCCAGTTTATTAGAAATAGTGACCCCAGACCCTTAACTGCGGCGGGCCGAGGGTTAAAGGCTGCTAGTGCCTTCTGGGAACCTCCTGGTACTCTGTGTAATCGATTTGGACCTTCAGCATGGGATAGAGGTGTCCAGCTTCTGTGACTTCCATGCAGTTTTTACCACTCTGAAAAGCTACTGTACTTGATTGGCTTTCCCAAGTAATTAAAGATGTGTTTTGGATTTTTTTTTTTTTTAGTAGAGTGAGTCCCATGGGAACACTAAATAAAATGGAAAAAGTGTGCGTTTTGCTTTTCCTCCTCTTGGTCACCTACTGTTCACATCCAAGGTCAAGTTTTGTCTTATTCTAGATATTCAAAGTGTTACCTGTGGTGTTATGAACTACAGATGTACAGTTTCTTTTCTGTATTAAAGTATAAATGATACGTGGCTTCTTTGGCTCTTTTAGAAATTGTTTTAAATGTGGAGTATAAGAATGAGCAGGTGATGGATGGCTAGAAGGTTTTGTTTCCTTGCTTCAGAACCTAAAGATGGCTTGTGACCCCAAAGTCTTAGGAGCAGTTTTGCGGCAGGCAGAGCCTGGTTGATCTGGCAGAGACCTTGTACAGAAGCGTTACTACCACGTGTGCCCAGAGGACTCAAAGTTTGCCAGCTCTTTGCTCTAAAAGCAGCACATAGCGCAGGTGTGAGCCAACACCACGTCACCCACGAGCTCTGCAGCATCTCAGACAAGCCCCAGTGCTATCTTTGGTTACTCTGCTGCGAAAGATGCTCCCTGCTTCTGCCTACTTCTGGCTTTGGAAGAAAACAGCTTTGGAGCAGGTCTGGCTTTTATCTCCATCTCCAGTGTTGGATATATTTCAAGGGTTTTCTTAATGAAGCTTGAGAGAAGTGTTAGAGATTGTGAACAAAGTGGAATTTAGTGGGATTACGGAGGTGACAGCTAACTTGTACTCGCAAATGGAGCTGTCGCAAATGCGAAGCAATGAAATAAGAACTGTAAGTTGATTTTGGCATGTTACAAACTGGGAGAAAAAAGAAATAAAGGGTCGTAGCTTTGCTTCCAATGCTACTTGCGGCTTATTATCTGTTTTTAAAACAGAAAAAAGATGAAAAAGAACTTGCCCTGAAGCTGATAAACTGGAGTGATGCTTACACAATGCAGGGCACCTGGGTGTAAGGCCAGGGCTGTCCACCCCTGCCAGGAGCCTGGGCACATTCTGCCCAGAAATGCTGATTTTTTTTCATAAAGACACCACTGTCTTTCATCATTAACAGGGTGCTCAGGTCTTCATGGCTACTCTGCATCTTTTGGAAACGCAGTCTTCAACCCCTGAGTGACCATTGCATCCTCATACCCAAGCCCTTGGTTTTAAAATCACTTTCAAAAAAAAATACACACCTGAGAGATTCCAGTTTGTAAAAACAAAAGGTGCCAGCAAAACTGTGTTTACTAAGAGGGTTTTATTTACACAACACAATGCAAAGATCATTCTATAAAAAGTTGGCTTCCCCCAGCAACACGCAATACACTTGCCAAATTTTACAGTGCAATTTATTAACAGCTTTGAAATATTTACAGAACACTTTTTCACCGTAGAGGTTAAGGCAGAGTCAGGGCACAGTGATAAGAAACTCTCAGTGCAGTTTTGTGCTAGGCATGATACGGAAATGAGCTGGCAGCATAACTCCCGTTCAGATCCAGGGGAAATTCAGGTTGGAATTACTCCTAGAAGTCCAGCAACTGCTTGCAGCTTTAAAAAAAGAGCTGAAAGATACATACAACCTCACTACACAAGCCAAGAAGAATGTTTGGCTAAGGTGGGAGATGGAACGGGCATACAAAAATCTTCATCTGTTAGCAGGGAAGTATGGATCCTGGCAAGACGACACTGTCCTTTTTTTCCTAGGGCTGGTAAGCAGCTGGAATGGGAAGCAGGATAACGATGCAACTGGGATGCGAAACCTGCCCCTGGAAAGGTGTCCACAAGAACTAGATTCAAAGACATCCAACTTGTACCAAAAGATAACAGGAGTGAGGTACCCAACTGCTCCTTGGGCCTTTGAAAAACTTCACCTTTAACTCACAAAGTGACCGATCAGAGGTTTCAGAAGACTCTCAAACACATGCACTCACAATGCACAATACGTAGCACTAGATAGGTTTTTTCACAGCAGGCTATCACAACTTAGAATTGTGTAGCTTCTTCATCTTTGGTATTTATAAATAAAAATGCCAGTCCCTTTTAGTAAAGGGATAATGCAGCTACTCAAAATCATTTATTCCTTATCCACAGCAGCTTTAAAGGATTTTTTTTTTTATTTATTTTAAGGCAGTATCTAAGCTGTTAGGAATTTAAAAAAATGTTTTGCCATTAATACCTCTTAGTTTTCCAATGGTTTATAAGGCAACATTCTCAAGTAGGTAGAAGGAACTGCAGGATAAAGAGACAGAGCCATTTTAGAAGTTGGTGTCAGCCCTTTGTAAAAAAAAAAAAGGGGAGCAGAAGGTGTTATTACTGACTCGTTGGTGAAAAGCCTGATCCTAGCACTCGTTACTTCAGTTAGCCCTTTTTCATCTGAGTGAGCCCTGCTGTGATCCTGGTACTTCTAATGAAGGCTGGTTTTGCATTTCACTTTCATGAGATCCAACTGGTATCTAAACAGCTGATGGCAATTCATGAAACTCCTAGGACACATGGAAAAACACGCGGGCTGGCGAGGGAGAGGATGAGTTATCATCACCTGGTTTGAGCTGGATGTGGTACTTTCACTCCCCCCCCTCAGTCCTTCATGATGGCACTCAGTTCAAAAAGACATCTAGGTAAAAATTCCCTAAAAGCTCCTATTACAAAAAATTTCACTACAAACTCATTTTCTTTCATTTACTAATCTAGAAAGTTAGGACTCAATAGAACCGAAAGCCTTCCTTTTACTTTGAAACACTGCTTTAGCTTTCTTTCTAAATATTTTTTTGTCTGTGCTATGTAGTTAAGTGTTCAGCACCAATAAAAGTTTGGAAGAATCCACAACAATTAAAATTGATCCATGCTTTTAGAAACCTCATTACATTTCTATTTAAAAAAAAATATATATAATTGCAAATTAAAGACTGGAACCAGGCAGAGCCAAAGGTTGATGCCAGCTGCCCCTGGAAGTGCAGAGTGGAGCTCATGATGATAAAAAGGAAGCAATCCTCCTTCCCAAAACACAGTCATGTTCTGAGAGATGCTTAGGGAGAGAAAGGCACTTTGGGGCTCTCCTGGTGAGCATCCTTGATCATAACTGAATGTACTTTTATAAATGACACTAGGCAATAATCCAAGAGCGGAGGTGGTGGGTTCCACTGCCCTGAAAGCGAGCTCCGGAGGCACTGGCCCTTTGGAAGAGCCCAGGGACAGGTGGTTCAGCCCTGCCAGCAAGAGGAGCTCTGCAGGGAAAAGCCTGGGAGGCCTCCAGCAGCAAAGCTCAGAAGAATCTGATCTTGTTCTGCTCAAAACCATGAGCAAAAAGATGGTTTCATCTCTAAATCAATGAACAGCAGATATTAAAAGTGGCCAAAAGATGGCAGGGGAGGAAGGGGAAGCCTCAGGGCTGACCCAGCTGTGCACAAGATGCCCACCAAGAAGCAGGTGAAATGAATTTCCCTCCCTCTCTGCCCTAATTCCAGCTTCACTTATGTTTCCAGATGTAGTTTTTATTGCCTGCATTGTTTATAGATCCTTCCTTTCAGACAGGAACTGAAAACTGCCGGCGCTTGGTGGAGGAAGTGGCCCCGTTTCTCCTATCACTGTCTAGAAAATTAAAAAAAAAAAAAAAGCGTTGCACAATTTTTTTAATTTAGAAAAAATATTAAATGGCTTGAGGGTCACTGTCTTAGTACCAAAAGTAAAGTGCACCGCAACTGGAGGCTGCTGCGACAGAGTTGAGAAATGCTATTGAAGAGGCTTCCAAGTAGCATTATAAAAACCAGCACTACAAACGAAGGATAAGGCAATACGAGTTGTGTCCTTCTACTAGATAGTTTACTGGAGAGTCGTCTATCTCAAGCTTTAATTATTGCTTTGTTTCCTCTGCACTGAAGTCCTTAGCCACCGGGAAAACGGCGCTGGCGGAATTGGCTGCTTGAGTTTGTCATTTAATGCAGGACTGGCAACCCAGTCCCTATCAACATCCGTGCTCTGCAAAGTCAGCGTGAAGGCTCGCTCTCATCTCGTGATGGACTGTACAGTCTGGCAAAGAATTTAAAAAGAAAACTGTAACTCTTGCTCCTGAAGCAGCAAAATGTGCTCGCAGCAGAGATGACGCAAACACTTTGTGGATTTTTTCAATGGCGTAGAAAGAAAAAAATCCTTAGTAACAGCCAGGGTGTGTAACAAAACAGGGTCCTGAAGTCTCCTCCAAGAGTTGATAGCCCTCAAGTTTTCTTTAAAAAAAAAAGAAAAAGTTCTTTGATGGGTATAAACCCAAAGTACAGGAACAGAATTCCACGGCTCAGAAGTTGTCCCAGGTGATTTATTACTTTCCTGCTTTCATATAGGATGGTATTGCTCCTCGGGCTGTCAGACCTTCGAAACGCTTGTAGGTGTAGTTGATGAAAACCCAGTCCTTGTTCTTGTAGTCGGTCTCTGGGTGGTTGCTTGTTGCCACTGATAAGATATAGAAAAAAAAAAATTATCCTTTGAAGGCTGCGAAGTTTATTTTCATACAAACCACTGGATGTGGAGTAGGGGAGAAGGCTCCTAAAGAAAGAAGTATCATAAGTCTAGGCATCCCATTTCATTCTTCAACCCCAGTCGAGTTTCTTAAACACATGGAGCCAAAGTGTGACTGTGCTTTGACACGGAAATGCAAGAATTCTTTAGAGATTTACACCAAAACATACTGTCCCCTTCTGTCCCCCCCTCTCCCTACCCTATATGAAATGCTGGGCATGCCAGCAGGAAGCTTGCGGGTCCTGCTGAGATTTGAACTCTGGGAGCTCAGCTGCCTCTTGGAGATGTCCTTTCTCAGGCGGCTCCCACATCACTCACAAGTCTGCATCCCACCTCCTGAAACCCACACACCCCTGCACCGTGAGACCAGCTCACAATTCCATCATGATTAAAAAAAACCCCAAACTAGCATCTAGTGCGATCCTTTCTGTGATTAACACTGTTACACTGTTCTACCGGAGGAGAGGAAGGACCCTTTACACGCAGAATCAAAGCGTTTACCTGTTGGTTTAAGTATATCAGATTCTGGAAATTCATCAAAGTTTGAGGTATCATCAATACTTTTAATTTCTATTGAAATTGCAGCAGGTCTCTCTCTGCCAAGAAAAGCAGATTCAGCATTAAAGATTTCAAAGGCAGGATTCAGCCACTTTCCGTTTCTTAACAGAACCAAAGACTGAAGGTACCTAAACCTCAGCAAGCTTCAGATAAGGAACAAAATACTCTCGCCCACAGCTGGAGAAATGCCAGTCAAGCTGCTCCCCTCTGCTGAACAGGACTAGCTTTAAGCAGTCTCTAGAGAAAGAGCAGCTTGATTTTTCTGCAAAGCATCTTACCTGATATGCTCCCAATCAACCCCTTCAAAGAACAGGTTACTCTTTATTTCCTCCACACCAGACGCACCAATTCTGTGCTCCCATTCACAGCAAAATCTGGGATGGAAGGAAGAATGAAAATGAAGGAAGAATGAAAATGAAAGCATTCCATCCAGCAATGGAATGGCTTTCTGAGCTGATACCACTACGGTTTCTTAACATAGAAATGGAGAAGGTCAAGAACTCCCACTGCAAAACCAACACACAAAGTCATGCTTCGGAATGTCATGCCAAATGCTCCAGTTAGGATGTGGTATTCCTTCCCAACAGGATAACGGGCCCTTTCTACTTCAGGACCAGTGCAGAGCACGAGAATATATAAAGCCTAAAAAGCTAGACATTTATATTTCTGTCCTGAGAATAGATAAGTGGTTGAAAATATAAATGAAAGAGCAAGAGTCAGCACGCGCTGGGATACTCCGGTGCAGCCAATGTCAAAACCATTGCTGGGGTAAGAAACTAGCTCTGGCAAAGAGATTAAGTTGCTTCCAGGAGCAGCTCACAGACAAAACAAAGAGCAGAAACATTTGTGTTTTGCTAGACTGGGAGCACTTACACCGGAGCTCCTTTTTAGTCTAGTTCAGTCAGGGCTGCACTAAATGACCTTCGAGACAAATGTATTTGACAAGGGAGTTCAGCGTTTGATGCATGTGCGTAACAGAGTCACAAGCATCAGGCTTTTTTCATGTGAAACAACCTATGAGAGGTACGTAGGGTAGTTTGCAAGACAAGATCAGTACTGTATTAACTGGCAAACCACACGGCTGGCACCTTAAAATAAGATCCTTTGCTTTGTCAGATATCGGAACTTCTGGAGGAAATGTCAGAGTCTCTTTCCAATTCATGACTTTCTTATATGTTTCCTGAGGAGTCTCAGAACAGAAGGGTGGATAACCTGAAAAGAAAGAAAAATACAATCTTGTATAAAGCAAAAATAATTCCTGCAGGTACTGAAGTCTACAGTGCAGCTGAACAAACCCGCACAGCACGCGAGGAGTGGAGGCTTTGAGAACCTGAGCCCAAGCACGTAAATACGGCTGATGTCCTACCCCCCGATTCCTGCTTCAAACCCGTGCCCTGCCTGGTTCTTACCGATCAACATCTCGTACATGATGACCCCAAGCGACCACCAGTCACAAAGCTTGTTGTAGCCGGTCTGCATGAAAACTTCAGGGGCAATGTAATCTGGAGTTCCCACCGTGGAAAACGCCTGGAACAAACACCCCCGGTTACACACCCCTCCAGAAAACTGCCTGGGAGGGAAGTGGGAACTTGTACAACAGTGGTTATTTGGAGGAAGACACCAGATTGTCTCTAAGATCTTTTAGCAAAGTTGTTTAAAGCCTTTTTTTCAAGATATGTAGATACAAAATCAAAATGTTCATGTGAAAGAGTCTTAAAATACCGTCAGGGAAATGGGGAAAGCGACCATTGTCTGTATACACCTTGGAACGGGGGACTAGCCCCTTGTGACACTGGAAATGGTAAAAACTGTTCGTTTTAGCCAGGAGGCATCAATGTAAATAATTACGGCAGCACCATCTCGGGCACACACGTCACCAGCTGGGTCAGCAGATGGATGAAGGACAAACTATAGTCACTCTTCTTTTTAAAAGAAACGTAATTTTTTTTTTTTTTTCATTTCAGCATTGTTCAGAGCTCTGACATGGATTAATGCCGTCATTTAAACACGTGTGCCATTGGAATGCGACAGCTCAGCAGAGAACATTTCCAAGCAGGTGAGATGTACTTACCAACTGCCGTCTGTTTCTCTTCCAAGTCTCTGCTTTCCTTTTGGAATTCATGTTCTGGAAAGCTAAAGGAGATTGGAATATATGTGACTGAATCCTACTGGTCACCCAACCTCCCCTTTTACCCCAAAACCATCCTTTCCAACCTCAGATAAAGAAGGTGAGATACAGCTGGCATCTACCAACTCACACCAAGTTTTACTTCGAGCTTTATTCCACATGCAAAGAAGGGTCTGAAACTTCTGGAAATGAAGATGTTTATGTACATTAAAGTAACTGAAACTATTATACAGAAGTTTCACAGTAAATCAAAATTACACCTCAGTGTTCCCATTGAAATTAGTTGTCAGGCACCAACAGCAAGAACGCCGATACCCTTCTGAAGCCGAATCACTTACTGAAGTCACTAGGAAGACTGTGGTTCAGGTTTCTATAAAATTCTGTTCTGTGGGCTTTCTTCAGTCCAGTGCACAGACCAAAATCCGAGAGTTTCACATGGCCCTAGGAAGAAAAACCCAAAATACAAAACCAATATGAGACACTAGCTTAGCAAGGAAAGATTTCTACTTCTTCCCCTCCCTCTCTTTTGCATAATAAATAGATTCGCTCTTTTTGCATTTCTTGTTTTATCCCAAGCCTGGATGTGCACATGGAACCAAGCCATTAATACTGATCAAGCTAATAATACTCTCATCCCTACAACACAGAGAAAGCCCAGGAACTATTTGCTTCAAGAAATCACAGCTCCTGCAAGCTCCTGACCGCTTCAGAGTGAGAGCGACCGTCTCCAGAGGGAGCTGTAGTCCCTGGATTGTGCGTAGCCCCAACAGATAAACACCTTAAATTCAGTGACTGGGTCTGTCTTAGGGCATTAACATGCGGCCACAGCAGCTAGGTGGAATTTTTAGATGTGTATTTAAAACAGAAATCCTTTTCCAAGTCCTGAATCTGGATGCAGACACACTGAATTCCATCAGAAATTCCAAGAGTGTGTTATAACCTGGCTAGAAGTTTCCTGCTGGCAAACTTTCTCCAAACTAGCTAAATTTTAAGCAAACTCGCAGTGAGCAATAGGAGGATACAGAACCAATCAAGCTTTTTGCAAACTGCCTGGGGCAGCCTGGCCAGCCGTCAGAAACACCCCCTGATGCTGTGGGAGAGACCGTCTCCGTTTGCAGCCTCGCTCGTGGGACAGAAACATCCTTCTGTTCCGTAAGATCATCTACCCAACAGCTGCCAAGCGTGAGCGGAACAGATGTGACACCAAAAGGAAACATCTTTGAGTAAGAGGGGAGAACTGGAACCGCGTGGTTTAAATTGCAGCTAAAATAACCCAAAATATCTTCAACAACTGTCAGAAGGAGCCCGTAAGCGAGGTATGAAGGTGGAGGAGAGGTCTTGCTTGGCTTGGTTTCTTTTCCCCCCCAGTGATATGTCAGATATCCCCTCAAAAGCTAATATTAAAAATATTCCTATTTCAATATTACATATTGAAATATTAAAAATCACAAGCCCTATTGCCCAGCCAGCGGGCTGCACGTACCTTGCTATCCAGAAGCAGGTTGTCTGGTTTGATGTCCCGATGGATAAAACCCAGCTGATGAATAGAATCGATGGCTAGCACGGTCTCAGCTATATAGAATTGTGTCTCTTCTTCTGTTAGAGTGTCTTTTTTCATCAACAGTGTCATCATATCACCTACGAGGCCCCCCCCGTGAACAGCAAAGGTAAATACACGTGAACACACAAACTCCCCCCTTGCTCATTTTGCAGACTATTACAGAGAAAAGAACTAGCCTCAGGAAATCTAAACTGGTTCAACAGAAAATAATACAGCTCCCCAGCACCTCTGTGACAAACTTTTCTATTTTCTCTCGTGTCACTGTGTGTGGAAAGGCTTGTGCAGTAATCACATTGAGTTTCCTGGGACAGCTAAACAGCATAAAGATGAAACAGCAGCACAGGAGCATCCCTCAACCAAGCGTCAGCGATGGACCGCCACTCCTCACTGCGCAGCTGAATCCCAGGTTAAAATAGATATTTTCAGCTCCAGAGCTGTTACAAAAACCAGGCTGCATTTGCGCAGTGTCATCTCTTGTGGTTTCGTGAGTCACACAGATCACAGCCTTTCAGGAGAACTTTCTTCTAAAGCGAGTTACAGCAGCAGCATCGTTCAAGGACAAACATCATCCTTGGAAAAAGCACCTTAAAAGCTACTTCTGCTGCAAGCCAGCTAAAAACCAAAGGTTAGAAAAATAAAAAACTGGTTATGTGACGGTTCTGTAGGTAGTAAGGATAAGAACCAGCAGAATATTAAGGTTTCAACCATCTGCAGGTAGGAGACCCGAGCAGATAACCTCAAGCCTGACCCAAGGACCTCAACACCCTCACTCCTGAGAGCAGAAAGCTTTCCGACGCCTCCTTGGTTCCTCACCAACCACTAACCAGCACTGGAGAGGAACCACAGACACCCAGTCCCAGGCGACATTTGTAATTAAGAAATTAGAAATCCACAAACCAATCTCTAACATTCTGTGATTCTGTGAAACGAGGTCGGCAGCCGTTTGAGTGCAGGTAGTTACCTCCAGGCAGGAACTCCATGATAAGGTAGAGGTTTAGCTTGTCCTGAAAACTATAGAACATCTTCACAACCCACAAACTGTCTGCCTCCACTAGAATGTCCCGCTCCGCACGAATGTGGCCAACCTGGAGACACACATATGCATTTCATTAATTGCAAGGCAATGTTTTATTAGATCCATTTATTTTGCCGACAATCGAAGTACTGTATTGAAAAGACAGCAGTCCAACTTCTGCACAAGGGCAGAAACACCATCGAACCTTCAACAGTTACACCCCTCAGTATTTTCAGGTAAGAAAACAGCATAACGTGTTCAACCACAAATGCAAAAGTCATGCTTCTGACAACAAAAAGGTGAGAAGCTTTCATTAAATGTCTACATTTTTCCAGAATGTTTCTTTTTTTTTTTTTCCTGATAAATCCCATTGAACACTAACTCCATTTTCCTCTGCAGCATGAAGATCTGAAAGACTCTTTTACATTCAAAAATTTCCAAAGGCAAAAGTCCCCGTGAACTTTCCACTGGCCACATACACTTGAGTAACTTTTATACTTATTGTGTGACTTCTGCTGCCATAAATCGAGACACACGTAGGAGGGCAAGAGAGCACTAACCTCATTGTTTTAAGCAAAAACTCAAGCTAGATAAATTTAAACCACCCTCCTAAACGACAAGGCTCCGTACAGAAAGATATCCCACATTTATGTTTTTATTCTTTCAATCCTCAGGGGCTTGGGTCCCCTTCAAATCAGAACCGTACAAGTGATGTGGGACAGCGTGAAAACACTGCTCTTAAAACCAGTTAAAGACAGATGACTCCAAACCACAATTTATTACCATGGGATAATTCAGGAGGGCAAACGTGTGGTTGATTATAAAAGAAGGTTAATCCTATATACAAAAATATCTCAATTTTTTATACAGATATCTAACATCTCTAAAAACCTAGCTCTGCTCTAAACAGTTTGCACATCTCTCAGCTACGGCTCCAGCCTATTCCCACGGATTCAGACCAAAGCACCGATGTAGCAGTGCTGCCCAAAGCCTGTGTGCACTGGTGGTGGGGTTTTGAACAGGGTACCTTCAGAAACAGAAACCAGTTCCTGATTTTATGAACACATACACACAGCACCTCCTGGATTCAGCCCAGTGCCGAACAAGAAACGACCGTCTCAGACCTTCATACTGCCAGAAATGAAACTCCACTGCTTTATGTCCCTCCGAGCCAGAATTCCAGCAGTCGCATCGCTTGGAGATTTGTATCTGATTCCATAAATCAGAAACGCCGTCAAACACCAGCCTTGCCCTCGATACCGAATCGTTCACACGTGTAACGCACGTCACCGTAAAATGAGGAGGAACATAAATCAGATGTATAGAACTGTCCTTCTCCTTCACTGCAGAGAGACAAACCTAGTCCTTACAAAAATGCTCTGCCTCCCCGTGTTTTCAAGCAGCGAGTTCAGTCCTACCTTCAGAAACGAGGGTGACAACTGCAGTTTCCACTGAGACGAAGCGAGGCATCAGAGGTGGTGGGAAACACTCTTCTGAGGATTGTTACGTACAACAGCCCGTAACTACTGCTGTAACCCTACAGAGACTCCTCAGACTTTTGCATTGTTACAAGGAGTGTTTAAAAAACAAAAAATCATAAAAAAGAAAGAGCCCAGGAGACAACAGGTCCTCATGAATTCATCCAAGGTTTTTCTGACCCGTTTCCTCCATAAAAATGAGGGAAAAAAAAAAACCCACATAATTTTTTAGCTAGTAAACCTGGTCCACAGATGCCTCTACAGGTCACAGTTACCTAAACCATGGATGGTGGCATTCCTACTCAAGGTGACTATTCACCTGCTCTTTTTCCAGCATGTCGGCTTTACGTAGGATTTTCATCGCGTAGACGTGCCCTGTGTCCTTCTTCTGGACCAGTCGCACCTAGAAAATCCCCAAAACTGGAGTCAAATCCAGCATCGGAACCACAACTCTTGACACATTTGGGTATCAAAATTTCATTTTCATTTCCCATGATTTCATGAAATCCCATCAGATGATTAAAAACAAGCAGCGGTACGCAGCGCACAGCAATGGCAAACAAGTCCTGATAATTGATGAAATCATCTGAGCAGAGGTGACACATTGAGCAAGAGAAGCCCAAGCAGGGAAGTCCAACGCCACTTTCTCCGCAGAAGGGACTCCTGCAAGGTGCCCTCCAGGAGGTGACAAAGCCCCTGCCAAACGTGTACGTACTTGGCCCATCAAGTCCTTTCCAGTAACACTCACGTTCCCTGAAAGCACGCCGTGGTTTTAACCAGCGTTTATTAGGCGTAACGACGGGCGCACGTGACCGTTAAGCTAAAAACCAATCTGCGGCGGGTTGTTACGACATTTATCTTTCACCTGCATACACCACACGCGTCTGTAACAAACGGCAGCGCCGTTTAAGAAGCCGTTCAGGCGTCTTTTCTGGGCTTACCTCGCCAAATGCTCCTCTGCCTATTACTTTTAAAGACTCAAAGTCTTCCAAGCCAAGCCTTGTTCTCTTTAGGCGAAGAAATTCTGTTTCTTTTTGCGCGTGTGCTGACCTCCTGATTCTTTTCTAGAGTTTAAAAAAAACAAACCCACAGTGAGAATTCTGCAGGTGAGCTCCGTAGAGTTGCCAAGTGTTCCAACAATTCCAAGTAAAGATCCCAGATTTCCATTTATAAAAGCAAATCACTCGTATTTAACCATTACAATGAATTCCCACATTTATTACCTCTTCATCTTTTAAGCCTTCTTCCTCCATCATTTGTTCTAGCTTCTTTTGTCTACAGCAGAGAGAAATTAGAAAAATAAAGGGTGAATCATTAACGTTGATTCTTAATCACGTGCAGATATCCAACACCTCCGTCATCCGCTTGCTGGGATATCTGTGGAGCTGTCCTTCCTCTGCACCTCCAACTCATCATCTGCAAAACGAGAAAAGTTACTTTATCTTTCCTAATGCCCGAGATACTCAAAATATTTGAGAAGCGGAAACATGCCTGGACACATTCTTCCCCTTAAAGAATCAGAAATATTTATGGCCTTAGTACAAAATTATTATTTGGGAGAAAAGAAACAAAGGAAGCAAGAGTTAGAGGGGGGAATGGCTCCAGGGGACTTTTGTCCCCATTACCCTCCGGGAACTTCTCCCCAGCACTGATCGCGTTCATAGCTGGCTGAACTGGGATTGATGGGTTTGGGGTTTGTTTTTTTTCTCTCCATGTGTGTTTTTATTGGTATAACATTACTAACAAACTCCTTCTCTTGATGCAAGTCATTCTTCGCAAGATCCTCTTCCTGTGCCACTGCGCAGCTGCTGCGATGTGATAATATTGTGGGTTCTCGCTTCCACAATCCATTTAAATTGCTTTGAGCGTACCCAGTGAGCACTGGCCAGTCATCTCATTTCCCACTCAAACCAGTGACTCCAGTAGCAAAAGACGACTGCTGCACTACGCAGAATTAAACAGCTCAGCTCAGAAATTCCCCCAAATCTCCTTAATAGGTCCTGTCTGCGCTTCGGCGTGCGTTTCGTCAACACCATTTAAACACCAAATTACACATCCACAGACATCTATTGTTAAAAAAACATGTCCCTTGGTAAGTCCCCTGGGTTTGTTCAGCCAGAGTCTTGATCCTAAACAGAAAAAACCCTGTCCTTGAGGTTTTGGGAGGAGACAATAGCGCTCATAATAAAAACCAAGAGCTACGCAGGGAGAAAGCAAGGAATTAAATCAGGGATACCTTCTGCTTGGGTTGGACCTCAACCTCTCATTACTCATTTGAAGCTTTGAAGAAACTATGTAGGCAAATTTATTTCTAAATTGCTTCCCCATTGCTGCAGTTATTGGCGTTAGATTCCTCTTGGATCCACTCGGGGGTTTGGCAGCAAGCGAACCAGCACTGACCCGCTCTCAAAATTCCGATTCGAGACAGCGAGCTGGGAGAACGTCGGGAGCGCCAGGGCTACGGCTTGAGGGAATTCAGCAGATGAGAGGGTTCCAGCCAAAGGAAAGTAAAAGTAATACTTCTCCGTTCAATCGCTTGTTATATTTTGACCGATGGATTTAAAGAGATGCCATAGGTTCCGCTGACTCCCAGGCAAGAAGGCAGCCCCAGGTGTCAGTCCTTACAGCAACCCCTCGTGGTCTTTGAGATGATCTGACCTGATCACACCTTATAATCCAAACTGAAACCCATGCTCTAGAATGAGTTTGAAATAAACCCGATTTCAATAAATTCTATCGAAATATAAATAATAATATTTATAATATCATTCTTTTATACATT